GCAGCTTGTGAAATCTATACGAACCTGGAACCCCTGGACTTGCGGAGAGAGGCAGCAGTAGTGGAGATGAGTGAGCGCTACAAAAGACTGGAGAAAAACCACCCAAACAGGAAAATAATTGAACAGAGACGACCAAAGAAACGGATTCATGGAAGATCAATACTTGACACAGCCACTGAACTAGTAGACAAACACCATCTTCCATGTAACAGAGAAATGCTGAAACCTTAAGACCAGAACTCCCCCCAAACACTAACATCAAGAATGCCAACATCAAAACCTCCCTCATAAAAGAGACAGTGAAAAAGGAATGTGACCCAGTAGAACTGAAGACAACAGCTCTGAAGACAATTGACTCCTACCCTAGTGATTCAATTCATATTTATACAGACGGGTCAGCCTTCAAGGGAACTATAAACGCAGGCTTTGGGGTAAGAATTGAACATCCTGACAAAACATGTGAAGAGCTATTTGATGCATGTGGTACTTCTTCTACAAATTACGAGGCTGAGGCAATCGCCATTGAAGCAGCAATCCTCCACCTGACCAACATTTTCATAATACATCCAAAAAAAATCAAGAACACTATTATCTTCACAGACGGAAAGTCAGTACTTCAAGCTTTGGAAAACATGAATTTCGAAAGCCCAGCCTGCCTATCCGTGGCTCAAACAATCAATACGTTCATACAGACCTATGCCGTCGACCTGACACTACAGTGGATACCTGGCCACAGCAACATCCCAGGAAACGACAAAGCAGACACCCTTGCCAATAAGGGAGCATCACAAACACAACCTCACAACCCAGTATCACAACAGACAGCCAAGAACATCATCAAATACAACACCAGGGAACAGTGGCTGAATGGATGGGCAATGGGCAAAACTGGAAGAACTGTATTTGCACACATGACAGCCCCCAACTCTAAAGATGCAATAAATTCCCTGAGTAGAAGAGAACAAGCCACGATATTTCGCCTGCGAACACAACACATACCACTAAATTCCTACCTTAATAGGATCCGCAAGGATACCCCACCCGACTGCTCGATGAAGACTGCCAGGATGAAACAGTACCACACCACCTCTTTAACTGCCCAGCACTTTGTGACCTGCGTAGCACCTACCTACCTGCCTCCCCAGACATCGGAAACACTCTATACAGCGACAAAGCACAGCTGATTAAAACCTGTCAATTCTTTGCCATATCGACAGACCGAAGGGCTAGAACCCTAATGGCCGCTGGATCGGAAAAGTAAAGTTCCGCTCAACACCGTTTTTGTCATTTACAAAATATGCTTACTATTATGTGTGGATTTTACTTTTTTTTAAGTTTATCAAAAACCAAAAAAAAGTAAATTTGCAGTTTCCAAGGATATTTAAGCTTTGGAGGCCACCAAATTTTGGCGGCCATTTTCTGGCCAATTCTACCTCTTTAGTTTTAGTAAGAGTTTTACGGTATTTGCAACACAACCAGGTCATATAAGTGCAAAGATTAGAGGTGTTACATGAGAGCAACAAACGCAAAAAAACAAGGAGGAGAGATAAGGACGATAGATGATTGATAGGAAAGAAGAAGCAAGCCACACCAAAGCACACACCAACCACCCACATTCTACCTCTGGCACAAAACTGCTGTGAAAAGTATAGGTGACATTGATTTGTCCATGAAAGATATATCAGTTGAGGATAAATTGCTCAACGAATTCTGTACCACACTGTGATGACGATATTCAAACAGATTTTTCAGTTTTTTTAAAATCTGAAATGTTCTCTGCAACAACAAGCATACTATAAAATGGACAAGTTATGCAACCTTTTTTTTTGGGGGGGGGGGGTAATTTTTTATGGAGCTCGCAACTGCCTAAATTCATGTGAGCACGCAGGACACATTAAATATTTTCAGTTGGTAGAAAATTTTGAATTTTGCCCGGGTGGCGGCCGAAGCCTACTCTTATCGATTTTGGACCACCAAGGGATCTTTAACGTGTGCAGCTTGCACACTGAACCTCCGAGATTTTTCGTCCTTATCCAAAAAAGCCAGGTGTTGGAACTTACCTACCATAAGATCAGGGATGTTGTTGAAAGACAGCATTAAGAAGGAGCCAAGGAGTAGCAGTAGAAAGGCTGCAGAAAGAGTCAGAGGAGCCCAGCGAAGGGGACAAAGGATGTTGAGGGGTTTGGGGCAGAATGTGGAGACGAAGGCAGCCGAAAAAACATTGTTAGAGAGCAGGAAAGGGTTTGAAAGGAGAGCTTTTTTTTAGAAGAAAAGTTTCCGTCGCTTTCCGGATTCGAACCCGGGACCTGCTGGATGAGAGACAAACATCTTAACCTCTAGACCACGAGAGCCTCCCTTAGTTGCTTCTATTTTAGATGGTGTTTTTCTGTTGGTGGGTTTCTTCGAATCCATCTTGCCAAGTTTATCATGGTCTACCCTGTTTAAAGATAAGATAAGATAAAACAAGATAAGATAAGATAAGATAAGATTAGATAAGATAAGATAATTCTGTATTATCCCAGAGGGAAATATTTCTTGGCTGTACAGGACCGTAAAACACATGCAGGTATACATAAAAAAAATTATATTATATATTATTACTCTCTTTAAAATTCAATATGAGAACTCTGGTTCACCTGTGTTTTATGCTCGTCGTTTACCTGCTTGGTTAGGGGCACATTCTCATCAGTTAACCAAACCACTTAATTCTTTGATGTATAATACTATTATTAAATTGTTATACTCTTGGCCGTTTTCGTGTCTATTCGTTTAAGTACAATTTTTTTCCTTGCTTTCCTTGTGACGTCCATTAATTTTCTGAGACTTTTAATTTCATCTCACAGGTAATGGTCTTCCTTTCAGTCCTTCCCTGTGCTGTGTTTAACTGCCTAGAGCTGTGTTTACACGGGAGAGGGCGCTATACAAATGATCTTCATTATTAATTTTCGGACAGTTTCGTTCATTATGCAGTCTGTCCTTATATCTATTACTTTTACTTCTACTTTTTCATCTTCTATTGCCGTTGACCATCAAGGGGGGTAGGGGTGGAGTTTTCTATGGTAAGCAACTCTGTAGATTTTTCAGTTGAGATGTCATAGTTTCTTTTGTTTTATTAATTGACGTCAAATTATTTGATCTTGATTCTCTCTTCCTTCTTTTCCTTACAGAGCAAACCATGAAGAGGATTATCCCTGGGGCGAAGGTCAACGTTATTGGTGTGGACGAAGGACTTCACGTGTGTCTTAGAGTGGAGGAAAAAACGATGTCCTTTGAACAGCACGTGAGTTCCTTACACGCATAATATTTTTGTCAGAGAGAAGGAAAGAGAAGAGAGCCGGAGAGAGAAAGAGAGAGAGAGAGGGTGGGGGTGGGGGAGAGAAAGAAAGAGAGAGAGAGGG